TTGATCAGGGCTTGCAGGACCAGCGTTAAATCCCACTGTGGAACAAGTGGGCGTGAAGCAGGCCTGCGTCTCTGTACACCTTTTAGAAACCACTTCATCAGCGGGTAATTAAAAGCTGTTCTGTCTCCGAACCCTTCGTGGCAGGAAGAGATGGCTGCAGCGCACGTTTTAATCGTGCTGAATGCCAACTTCCTATCCATCAGCTGTTGTAGAAAAGACAACACGCCGCCTAATGGGCATGAGGTGGCCTCTACACCTTTCTCTGTACACCAGCGCTGAAAAGCCGTCCACTTAGATGTGTACAGAGCTGTGGTAGATGCAGCACATGAATCCTGGATTGTGCGCACTACCTCCTGTGGGAGACCCATCCTCTCTAAGCGGGACCGCTCAGCGGCCAGACCCACAGGTGCTGGCCTATTTCTGGGTAACTCCTGATCGCTCCTCCTGCTTGAAGGAGAGCGTCCTCCCTCCACGGCAGTTTCCACGGGCGACCCGACAACAGACGTTGCAGGACTGGGAACCATGGTGCGTTCACGCGCTCCGGAGCCACCAGGAGAGCTGTCAATCCCTCCTCCTGAACTCGGTTCAGGAACCGTAAAATCAGAGGAGGTGGGGGAAAACGCGTACAGAAGCGTTTTGGGCCATGGGCTGTGAACAAATGCATCCACCCCCAGCGGTGGATCGTCTCGCGGGCTCAGGGAAAACCATAGTTGACACTGAGCGTTCTCTCGTGTCGCAAACAGGTCCATAGCTGCTTTGCCAAACTTCTGCCACGTCTGAACCATCAGGTCTGGATGGAGGGTCCAGTCCGCGTGACATGGGCTGCCCCTGGACATCACATCTGCCCCTTTGTTCAGAACACCGGGTATGTAAACTGCTCTGATGGAGAGCAGGTTTTGGTGAGCCCAACACAGTAGCTTTCGCGCAATGTGTAACATCTGGGCTGAACGCACACCCCCCTGACGGTTTATGTACGCAGCAGTCACCATGTTGTCTGTGTGAATCAACACATGTTGATTCTGTAGCACGGGAGCAAAGTGTTGAATCACATTCAGCACTGTGCGACACTCCAAAACAATTATGTGGGCTGATGTGTGGTGGGGCCACAGCGCCCCTACTGCTTGAGATAGGCATGTCCCCCCCCCAGCCTGACAGCGACGCGTCCGTGAAGACTGACACGTGTGATATGGATCTGCTGATGGGAACTCCCTCTGACAGAACCAGGGTGTTTCCCCAGTGTCGGAGGTCTGCTGTCACGGAGGGAGGGACAGTGATCATCCGTCTCTTTTGTTTTACTGGATCCACACGCAGACGCGCAAACCACCTCTGGAGGCATCTCATGTGTAACAAACCCAGCGGAACCACTGTGTGAGCTGATGACATCATTCCCAACAGCTTAATGACGGAGACAACTGTTACCACTCTGCCAGGTCTTACGTGGCGGAGTTGACTTTTAAAAGTGTCGAATCTCGTTTGTGATAAACGAGCCTTCATGGTGGTTGAATTTAATTCCACTCCCAGATAAACAATTGTCTGGGCCGGGAAAATCTAGCTTTTCTTCCAATTTATGGCGAAGCCCAGATTTAACAGGTGTGATGTCAACACCCGAGCCTGCATCAACGCCTCCTATCTGGAGTGTGACAGGAGCAGCAGATCATCCAGGTAAAACAAAACTCTCATCCCTGCTCTGTGTAACAGATGCAGGGCTGTCTCCACACACTGAGAACGTAAGATGACCGGCAGCCCGTTGTACTGATACTTCATCCCCTGAAAGGAGAAAAAAACGCAGGAATTTTCTGTGTTTTTGGATGATCGGTATGCGTTTCTCTGGATGTTGTACAACAGCTGTCTGGTTGTCAACATGTGAAAAACGGTCTGTCCATGATCACCTTGTTGAAAAAACTGACAGATCCAAGATCGGTCTCATCCCTCCGGTCCGTTGGGAACCAGGAAGTAACGTGAGTAAAACCCTGTGTTTTCTCTCTGTTGGGGAACTCTGGAGATTACTTTTATCAGAAACACTTGGACTTCTGCATTTAGGGATGAGATTTGGTCTGATGATGACAGGACCGTTTCTATAACTCCTCCGAACGGAGGGGGTCGGGTTGCAAACTGTAACTTGTAACCATTTGCATAACACCCTGTCCATCCATCTGAACGGCGAGCATGTTTTAGCCACTCTACGTAACGTTCGTGGAGTGAACGTGCGTTTAAGTGATGCATCACGTTTTGTACGGCTGTCAGCAGTCCGCCCCTCAACCGCCGTCAAGCGTCACGGGAATGTTTTCTGCGTGACCCAAGGCGAGGCTTCCTCGAAAAAGGCTCTGAACGCGCCCGTGCGCTGCGTTCGGACCGCGGACCAACCTTCATGTACAGGTGGGCCGGTGTGTGCTGAGGCGAATCGTGTGACAGCTGATGACGCCGTGGGGCTGCGCGTTTGACGTCGCTGTGCGAACGTTGAGAGGCGGAGGGCGTGACTTCATCTACGCCGTGCTGTTGGAGTGAAGGCTGCAAGCCCCGCGGGAGCACACGTTTTCTCTGGAGGGACGCGCGCCACTCTTGCTGGAGGGGTGCGCGCCGCTCTTGCTGGAGGGAGGTGGGACTCGTCACCGGGTTCGTTCAGCTGTCTCACGCTTATGCTGCCGTGAGCTGCCGAACGCTGAGATGCGTTGGGTGACTGCTGCCCGCGTTTGATTCGGTGAGGCGAGTGTCGTTCTTGTGAGAGCGAGGACCTACACCTGACCCAGCCTGTGGTCCACATTTATACCGATGTGAGCCGGTGAGCGCCGGGCAGCTGTGTGTGTGCGCCAACATCAACACAGCGCCGTTGGATGGAGGCTGTTTCATCCCGCTTGGGTGAGGATCGTGCCGCTCGGGATGATAACGAGTTATTTTCGCTTACCATTGTGTCGTGTGAGCGACTCGTCATGTCTTGGAGCTACGTTGAGTTTAAAAACACCTTTATTTAAGGACACCGGCTCCTTATGTGTGGAGGATGTGTGCGCGGCTGCTGTGAATTCATCCGAGCTTACAGACTGGCTAAAAAACAGAAACTTTGATCATTGAATGATGATTTATTTCAACTTTCGTGTCACTTTTACACACACCCTCCGGAGACCGTCATTTTTAAAACTTCTCCCTCTTGAGCTCTGCGATTTGTTTGCCCAGAGCGCTGTCTTGCAGGCGAACTCTGGGGAAACGCTGAACTGCAGGTTGCCGGAATGAAGAGGGCTGGATTCTGACGGGCGGGGCTGGTGGTGGAACTGAGCGAGAGCCGCGGCCGTGGAAACGTCGATGCTTTGCTCGGGACGGTCCCTCCAGCGGGCCGGGGGCGGGATGAGCTGCGCGGCTTGATGAGGTGGCGCACAGCCTCTGGCACCTCCTCCGACTGCTTCAATTCGCCAGCATGGTTGAAGCTGCTCTCGAACAGCGCGTCCGCCGTGATGGGCCCTCCATCAGGTCTTTGTGCAGTTTCTCCGGCAGCGAGGGAGAGTAACGAAACCAGGTGGATCGTTGGATCATCGTCATCCACGCTGCAATCCTCGACAGGCAAACCGTAGAAGAGGCACACATGTTGAAGATGACGTCTGCTGCCTTACAGAGGGAGTTCTTTGTCTCCAAGGCAGGTCTGCGGCCTTCAGCCCCTTGGACATGCTATATGCTAGCAGCGCCACGTTGTTGCTAGCTGCGGCTGCCTGAAAGCACATTGATGGGCTCGATTGGAGAGCGTGGTCACCGTCTGGTTCGTGTTTCTCCGGAGGGACGGGACGCTGCTCCGACCTGGACAGCTTCGCTCCAAAGCTTCCGCGAGGCTTGGCTCCAGGGGGGTTACCGAGGGATAGCCCCGCTCGGTGAACCCCTCCACTCTGGTGATGGGTGCGGACTGGGGACCGACTCCCCCAATCTACCAGGAAAGAACTGTCTGTGGCCTCGCCCGTCGAACGTCCTGTTGGAACACGAGGCCATATGGATCAAGATGGTGAGCCAGAGTGGAACCCAGTAAAACAACCTTCCCGCCGGATCATCCGAACTGGCGGGAAAAGGCGTGGGACGTAGAAAAAAAGGGTCCCTTCATGTCAGCCTCCTCCTGGGTTACGCCGGGCAACCCCTGAGGGTGCCGTTGGCCGGGAGCGGTGTGATCGCCGATGCGAAACGAGGTGGGATGGGGTGAGCATTCACTCAGCCCCCCTCCACCGACACCACGCTCCCCAGGAGGGAATGAGCAGCGGGGGCTGCAGCTGAGCACGCCTGTCCTGGAGGAACCATCTGATTCGCTCCGAGGGTCGGCGATAAGAGGAAAAAAATACAAGATGGCGTTGTCCAGCGTGTAGTGACCTGTCACTGGGAAATATTCCTCGGCGCTTACCTTGGAATAAGACTGCTCGTCATCTTCTCCTCGGGGAGGAGAACTTACCGGACGACTGGAGGTCGACTGCCGGGCCAAGCATCCTTAACAAAGGTTGGTCATCTACACAATTTTCCTTCTTTGTTCTTCTGACAGTGCTATTTTAGCTCGCTGAAAAAAAATGGGAGCCGATTTCCCGCTCTTAACGTAATTTATACGGATCGGGTGGGGCCCACACAGCAGGTGGGCGTGGACTAAATTTTTTCAGTGCTTATGCTGCGCATAACGGGATAAACCCATCAGCGACAGCCTTAAAGGGCGAAGCCTATACGACATAGAACCTATTATTCCGTATTTTTCTAACAGAGCACTTCGCTCTCAGACTGCAGACTGTCCCTAACGTTTCCAAAATCAGAATGGGTAGAAGGTCTTTCAGTAATCAAGCTCCTCTCAAATCAAATAAATCAAATAATTTTAAATAAAAAATATAAGCTTTGTGTTTATGAGGCTTTTAATTCTTTGGATCTACTTTGTACAATAATTTAAAACTCTTTCTCCACCAAAATTAGTCATCTTTTGTCCTTTCTCCAAAATATTGCTTACGTTGAGAGTTAAATTCACATTTTTGTGGCCCACGAGTCCTTTCATCTGGATTGTTTTGGTCCATATGAAAACGTTTGGACACCCCTTGCCTAATGCATAATCCATGCATTAGCAGGTAGCAACTGGCTACCCCCAAAATCAAGTCAACACATTATTTATCTATATAATTTCTAAAATAAAAACAGTTGACTTAGTTTGTTTTATATCCAGAATGATAAGTTATTATTGCTAATGTCCTAATTTCTGCTGCACAAAGACTATCTGTGGTAAATTACATTCAGTTTAGCCCCGCCCCCGACTCCACTGTGAGTTTATTTTATTTTTTATTTTATTATTTAACCTTTAATATACAGGTAGTTTCAATGAGTCAAGAGGACTCATTTTCAAGAGAGACTTGTTTGAGACAGACAATAATTTACAACAATAAAAGAAAATTAAAATAAAATGATGTTATGAAAACACTGTTACTGTTAGCAGCATGGTCCTGTTAGCAGCATGGCTCTGTTACATTGTGGTCCTGTTAGCAGTGTGGTCCTTTTAGCAGCATGGCCCTGTTAGCAGCATGGCTCTGTTACATTGTGGTCCTGTTAGCAGCACGGTCCTGTTAGCAGCATGGTCCTGTTAGCAGCATGGCTCTGTTAGCAGCATGGCTCTGTTACATTGTGGTCCTGTTAGCAGCATGGTCCTGTTAGCAGCATGATGATAATAATGACTGTGGCAACGAACAATAACTGCCCTCCAGACCCGGGTCCGGCAGACACAGAGCATTTGAAGTTTCCCCGTGGAACCAAACTTTCCTGTAGAGTTCAATCCATGCAGGCAGATCATGGAGACAGTCACCATGACAGGCTGGAGCCCGAGTATGAGGAGGGAAAAGGGCTGGAGAGCGAAAGCCCTGGTGGAACGAACCAAGCTGCAGATGGACCGAGCAGGTCCCAGCAAACTCCCAGTGGACTGGGTCATGTGCTCCACTGGCAGATTGAACCAGTAAGTAAAAAAAAAACAACACTTTCAGTTTATTTTCCTTCAGTGATTACCTTCTAAATAACACAATTAAGTTGTTTCTGTCAATAAACAGGCATATGTGGACCCCTTAGTTCAGCTGGTACTAGGTGTAAATAGACTAAACTGTTTGAAACGAATTAATCCTGTCCAGAGCAGCCCAGCCGTTCCCATCTCTGTGATCTGATAAACTAACAGGTCTGACTGACACTCAGGCAGAGAGACAATGAAAGTTGCAGAATGTTATTGTTACTATTAACCTGTTTACATTCAGTTTATTTTTGATGAAAGTTAAGATTTGTCCATCCAGCTGGTGAGTTTAACTACACACAGTTGTTCATTGTTTCATTTTATCTAGATTATGTTTTATTATCAGCTCAAAAATAAATAAAATATTCCTGTGAATCTCTTCTTTCAGCTTTTCCCTCTTCAGGGGTCACCAGCAAGTTCTCTCTCTCTCTCTCTCTCTCTCTCTCTCTTTCTCTCT